TTGGACATGTTAGAGAAATAACATGGCGGCCATTTTGCGTCTTGTATATTATGGATATGTTATCACCAAACGGAACTTCATAACATCCCAATGGAGTTCTCCAAAGTGAGAAAGGGTATATTTACCTGCTACGACGGTTTCAAATATTGTGCGTTTGATGTTATTCATATCTTTTTGTCCTTCATCATATGCTCTCAGTAATATGGCCAAAACTGTTCCTTGGCTTTCCAAGTCTTCATCAGGAAGATTTAACTCCTCCATCTAAAACAAATAGCATTTAAATAATATTCCTAAATTAAATCTACCCAATTAGTTTGCTGCTTCCACTAGAAATACATATATTTCAATCCCATAGCCCAAAACCGAAGAATACCAAATAAATTTCGTACTAATGAACCCCACTTATATGAGACAATAATATTAATTAAATAGCGAGGAATTTGTAAGAATAAAGTCCAACACAGATATGGTGTTGACATAAACTAGCCCGGAGAATAAAGGTTTGCAATACATTAGTAACTTTGATGTAAATATGTCTTTGTTCTTGCTCAAATACAGGGTATCCCAAGGTTGGCCTATGTTGCCAGAACTTGAGCATAAATCATTGTAACCTCTACTAGTGTACCTTAAATCTATATCGAGCGATCCATGACTTAATAGTATCATTCCCAATTTTGTTCAACTCCATTAGATCTCTGTAAGACTTCAGACCAAAATGACGTAGCCATGGGAACAGTTCCAATTCTTCGCCACTCCCTTGTGCCATGTGCTCCATTCTCTGTAGCATTTTTTCACAGCACTGAAATCCTCCGCTGTTAGTTCGACATGTTCTCCTAATATCTGAAAGTGGAAGTGTCAATGTTAACACTACTAAACAGCGAGGCGTTTTCTGAAGGTTGAATATCTTCACCTTTAATTCTCCCAACCTTGCAATATACATGTGCTTTCTTTTTTAAAATCCCGTACAGTCAAAACAGAAATGTTTGTGACTACTTTGAATTTAAAAAATAAGCAATCAAATGACCATATTGAAACAGTTTATGTAAAAATAGAAACATTTATATTTATCCTAACTTTTGTATCTTCTTTTTGTTTTGTAGTTTAGCTATCATATCTGTGTCCTCTTATATTTTGATACTTCTCTGCCATGTTATTTTCGGAAATATTAACATGGCTGAAACTTAGATAAGTTACAAAAGGCCACAGCTTTGCTGCACATTATACATTACTACCTGAAATATACAAAAGTTAGGATAAATATAAATGTTTCTATTTTTACATAAACTGTTTCAATATGGTAATTTCATTGCTTATTTATATAAGTAGTCAAAGTAGTCACAAACATTTCTGTTTTGACTATAGATGTCCCGAATTTATAACGATATATTTGGAGGTTTTCATATGCATCTAGCAAGAGATTTTTCTATTTTATGACTATTTGAATTCTATATATATACAACTAGAAGAGAACCGTAATTTTCACAGATAGTTTATGTTTGAAAATAGTTATGACAAAATAAAAATTTAGATATTTTTATGACCTACCTAATATTGTAACAGAGATTTTACACAAACATATATACTCTTAAGCCTCTTATCAGTAATCCCTACTTACTTACCAAATTCACAATAAACTTCGTAACACAGTGGTCTACGTGCACATTTGGGTTGAAGGCCTCACCATTGTGTGACAGAAATTCTGCCAGGCACTCCTCATTTGGTTTGCTAAAAATATCTGTTGTATGATTAGATGCTGCGTAGGGTCGGATTCCTTGAGAAGCAAGTTTTCGCATTATTTTGAACGATTTTGTGAAATCTTGAAAGGCAATGCCATTATCGCCACCAGGTGTCGCATAAGTGAAACGCCAGGATTTTGGTCGTCCTGCAAAATCATCTGATTTTGTGATCATAATCGATTCATAGTCGTTACAAACAACGACTTCCTCTCTAAAAAGTTGAAGTTTGAATATACTTCCAAATTCCTTTGACCATTCTTGGATTTGGACATATGGTACATTTTTGCTGAGTTGCAGTGCATTGCCAACTATGGGATGGCCTTTTGGGCCAGGCGTGTCTAATTTCCTCCATTTTAATACAAATGCGAGAAGTAGTACTATTCCTACAACCAAGGATCCAGTGACTAGAATCACAGCCATCCTGTTGCAAAATAGTGTTTAAAACATGAATAAAATTGTTCACACGTCAAGGTCATGTATCCCTCGTTTGCAGTATTAAAGGAATTGTGCAATATTGTAACATTTCTATTTTCTTAGAAAGAAGAGCAATCATTGTACTGTATGTAAAACTGTTCACACGTTGGGCAGATATTTCTCTTTTAATAGATTAAAGAAATGTGGGACAATGTTGTTTAAGCGTATGTTAATAATTACTACTATGGACTAAAAAGACGTCAAGAAGAATTGTTGTATAATAGAGTCGTTCAATATTGTAACATTGCTTTACTACAAAGTAACATCCTCCGATCACAGGGCTTCAAAATTCAGAATATCTTCTTAATTTTTACCCCTTTGGTAACGTTTTGAAAACCATTTGCTGTACCGAACATCCCAGGCCACCTTTATGGTTTGCTTCATAGAAAAAGGTTGACCCAAGAAAATATACACATTTATTATGAGTAAAATTTGCTTTTCGAGTATGACAAGCTTTACTCATCTGTGCCTAGGTTCGTAACATGGAATCTGTTTAACCAGACGAGAACTATAAATTAGCTAGCTACGCCAAGAAACCTTTTAATCATACTTTTAGTATTCCGTTTTTATATTTCGATGCAAGTGTAGGCTATACTGACTTAAACATTAAACTAAACGGGCAAACAGCAATTTTATGATGTTAAAACATTTTTGCATATATGCATCCATGAATATAGCTGTATTCTTTTCTTTTTCCTATCAATCATAAATAATTTATACTCTTATGTCTAGTCAGAAAAAACAATTAATTCAATGTAATTTTCAATTATTTTCATTTATTTTCATGTAACTCGGGAGAAACTAAAAATGTTTTCATTTGGCTGAATAACAGCTGTATGCTCTCCACACAGAATAGTGATATACACTTGAATTGGTATTGGAAAGTGATCTATATATATCAGGGATACTCCGATACATCTCAAAACATTTTGCTAATTGTGGTTTTTAAAAATTCTGATTGTTTCACAATTTAAACAGTCAAAATAGGTCCATAAGTAAAAAAGAAATAAAAGAATGGAAAGGCCCTGCGTTGAGCGTTAATGTCCTGTTCATTACAATTGGAAATGTATCGATCTTACCAAGATACCATCATACGCATATCTTCTTGTAGAGACTTCCGATAATGGGGATTTTGTATTAATCCCCATGACGATATGTTGATATCCCCATGTTATGTCAATAGGGTATCTCCCCATGTTAACTCAAACCACCCATGTTGAAATCCTAAAAGGACCACGGAAGTTATCGCAACAGAGTTTAGATAGTCATATGTTGGACTGTGGCTATTTTTGAGGATTTAAAAAGGTGCATATGTTAGGCCATTGCATTATCTAAAGGAAAAGTACTCACACAGATGATCAAAATAATTCGGACATCGAGACGGGGAAGGCGCAAACACCCACAAACATTTTTCCAAAAATACATTCGTGATTTTAATCCCCTTCCATTCGAGTTAACCTCGTATATGTTTCAAGCAGGTATTAAAGATATCAATTCTGGTTGACCAAAATTTACTGAAAACAATGGATCGCATGAGTTTTCCCTATTAGAAAATAACGATTGTTCTCCACTTTATCCCACATGAAACATATTTTCCTTTTAAAGGGTGACGCATATCGTTTAGCAAATCGAACGCTCGTTTCTGGTGTTGCTCACCGTTTAGTATAAAAGGCCCGATCCCGGAATAATACTCAAGGGTTCACAGGTTCGAGGTCGTTGTGTCAACACCTCTAACTGTTATATAGCATAAGTATATTATAGATCGTCACACATTTATAAAAGGGTGATTTTTATTTTGACAAATCAATTCCACATTTATGGGTGAAGTTTCAGGATCTTCTATTTGTGTATAATAAGGAAAAATTGGCATCTAAATTCCCCCATAACGTAATAGCACACAGCTTAGCATATGAAATATCCTACAAATGAAACAAAGCAAGACAAACCGGTTTCTAATACAAGGATTTATATTGGCTGTTGTACATGTATTCTTTGAACGCAATCACTCTTTGGATAACGTTTTCAAAATCATTATAAACGGATTACTTTATCTCAAAGACAATTTCAATAAACTGGGTTTTACAGAACTCCCCTTATTTCTTAAAAATGGACTGATCCAGTTGATTCGCCTGGAGCCGCCATATTGTTTTTACACGGGATGCTAATCGGAACCCTTTAAGCGGTTAACTCTGTCTGCAAATGCAACATGTTGATGCATAAAACAATGCAATAGAAACAATAAACACATTGTGAATTATGTGTATATTTACATACAGAAAATTACCGACTGTTGTATAAACAAAAAAGATTATTTTAGATATGCATGCTAATTCCAATTTAGCTATCCAATGTTAGAAACTATTCCACAGCTGGGTGACTCTAACTGCAGTTAGTTTCATTTAAGATGGTTGCTGAGATTCTTTCGTTTTCGATAAACCTCTGATTTCAGCTAAACTAAGTTTAATCTTGATTCCAAGTTTAGCCATGCAAATTAATAAAACTATAATTATATTCAACCACAACTGAATGCCCAAACAGCCGCAATATTAGAGAACTTTAAAGAAAACAGCTTCACTTAGAATGACTCTCACTGAAGTTGATGATCTACGTCATCATTACGTCATCATCAACTCCAGTTAGAGTCATTCTAAGTGAAGCCATTTTCTTTAAAATGCTCCAATATCGCAGTTGTTTGAGCATATATTTGTGGTTATTTACCATGTCATAGCTTTATTAATTGACATGGCAAAACATTTGGAATCCAGATTCAACTTACGTGTAGGTTTAGCTGAAATCGGAGGTTTATCGAAAACGAAAGAATTTCGGCAACCATTTTGAATGAAGCTAACTGCAGTTAGAGTCATCCAGCTGTGGAACAGTGTATATGTTCATATGTTCAGGATTTTATTTCATTTTGCTCTGGGGGTCGTTTCCAAAAATGTCGTTGACTTACGATATCGTAACTCCACGACAGTCGTAGGAATGGGGAAAGTTACGACAAACTTACGACTGTCGTAGACTTACGACAGATCCGTTTCCATAAAAATCGTAAGTCTGTCGTACAAATTCGCAACTCACGACAAGTTCCACGATAAGTGATGCGAACGTCACGTGACATTCTTATTTAAAATTTTAGTTGTATAATATGGTGTTCTAGTCCTGTAGTGTTGTATTTATTGAAAGTTATTGATTTGTTTAAAAATGAAATCACAGGCCCGGTGTCAAGAAATTATGGTCCCCCAGGGATTATGGTCCCCCTTTTTAAGGCCCTTACTGGCCCTGATTGTGTATAAGATAATAAGGGAAAGAGCACAAAGAGGTCACCATATAAATCAATGGAGAGTAGGACCATAAATTAATAGGACCTCCTACCCTTTTACACCGGGATGGCATCCTGACACTGGCATCAGTTTTTGTCTCAAAAAAGGTTGTCTCTGGGTCAGGTATATTGATTTGTTTCATTGTTAACTGTATCCAAATTCCGTTCTGTCCAAAGTTTTAGTTTGGAAGGATTAACGTTAACGATGTCTTTTAGTGAAAGCGATACGGCTACTATTGAAAATTGTTTCGACAAGGTGAAAGGATGGAGTGGAAGATGAATCCCAGAATCGTAAAGGAATTAAGGGTAAGAGTTGGAGTTATGTCACTGTAAATAGACTACATCCAACATGCATTAAAGGACGGCATAAGTATGTCATGGGAAACGATATCATTGGGAGAAACACACAAAAGCATTTTTGATTGGAAAAATTTCTTCTTTCAGACTCCGTTGATATTGGATATTTTTGCATCCTGTTTCTAATTTGACAACACTCCTCATATTTATAGCGCTAGCTAATGATACCACCCCATGCAGACAGATCGCCTAAAACTACATTCGTATGATGCGAGACTCGACTTTCACCGGGAAATTAGAAACATTTTGCCACCCTTAAAGAAACTTATTTTTACTGCTTAATAAATGAGCATTTGTAGATTTCGAGGTTATAAAGTAATACTAGTATCATACTGATGTTCGATCAAAAGTTCGAATAACAGTAATGTTGTGTTTCAAATATTAATTGTCATGTTTTTTCTGTTTCGGAAAATTCGGTATGTGATGTATGTTTTTTAGTTCTTCAAAGAAATCTACAAATGTATCGTTGCGGTTTTATCTTTACATCGTTTTTTCAATCACCGCCATCACTTTTCAAACGGCGTTACCTTGAAATATCAAGACATCATGCTATTCTCATACTTATAAAACGCAATTTGGCTGTCATTCATCATTTATTAAGCAGTAAAAATTAATTTGCTCCTTGGGTGACAAATTATTTCAAGTTTCCTGGTGAATGTCGAGTCTCATATCATACGAATGTAACTTTAGTCGATTTGTCTGCATGGGGTGGATACCCTATACTTCCTCGGTAATTTTTTTTAAAGCATTTAACTTGTCTATTGCTGAGAAAATACTTGTCAAAAGTGTCTCACTTTTTTGGGACACCGGGAGTGCGTTCACTGACGTCCGCACATAACCGATTAACTTATGTCAACGTTTGAACACCCTGACAACGGTAAAGTTAGATACCTGTATTACAAATGGCAGCAGGTTCGTATTCGATTCAATTTTCATCATGGGTCTGTTGAAAGGGAAAGCCCATGATATCCTTAAACTAGATTTAGGCTTAATTCCTTTGGTGCAACAATCAATCAAAGTCTTTTCCTACTTATCGTTTATTATGCTCTACCATCGAAATGAATCCTTAATTTTACCGATCAAAATATGACACAGGACAACGGATACTGTAAATGACAACGGTAAATGTGGGTCAAATGTGCTTTAAAATCGGGATGGGAACGGTAACATTTAATGATTGTAATGTAACGCTAGAAGCATTGGCTCTTTATGGTATGACTCCATTAAACATATAAAATACATTTATAAACTATGGCTGTAATAGCTATGATTATGGTCCCCCAGGGGTTATGGTCTCCCCTTCTAAAGGCCCTTCAGGAAAGAGGTCACCATATAAATCAATGGAGAGGAGGACCATAAATTGATAGGACAATCCTACCCTTTTACACCTGTTCCAAACTGCAAATGGAGTACTCTAGTTTCGGTCTTTAGTACGAACGAAAAAATTCAAAAAGGCCTTAGTCAAGCTTTAATTTTTTATCTTTTCCCATAGTGACATACATGATAGGGTTGTAATAATAATATACAGGGTGGGCCAAAAAAAATTGCAACCTTTTTAGAAGGCAAAAAAAAGTATCACAACATTATGGTATTGACATGAAATTTTTTACAGAAACTTAAGGATAGGCATATTTTACCATTTAAATACTTTAGCTAATACTGACTTCAAGTTTTTTGTCAGATGTTTGAATATTAATTGTAAATTGTTCACTTGTCCGTCCGGGATATACCATTTTTCCTTGAAAATCATTGCGTAAGTCAATTGCGGAAAGTTAAACGTAATTCTCCAATTTCCGCATATGTTTATTAATACGACAGAGAGATGTTTTATGTCCAGCGTACAATTGAGTTACGTGGACGTAAATGGAAATATTTACGTTGGCTTTATGAATAAGGCTTCTGTACTGCCCGGCTGTAAAGAATATCTGGGAGCCCCGCTCCCGTTTCTTCTTCCTGTTTCTCCCGTTTGTGTTTCAGGGCACTACTAACACCCACGTCACATTTCTTACGGCCGCCGTGCGGTCTATCATTTCTGCGTTCAGTAGCTTTTCTATGCTCGCCGTAGAATTACTGCGCTCTCATACTTTTGCAGTCACATTTCCCACGGCAGCCGCACGGCAATTTATAAAAGTTATTCATAGTGCTAGGATGTAATATCAAATGAAAAGTGTTCGTGAAACATTGACAAATAATGATTTAATCTTGTTGAGCCAGTTGATTTCTACAGGCACCGCAGAAATGAACAAATATTATAACTCCGAGTTATAATTTCTACGGCGACTCTGCGGCCTGTAAAAAACTGGATACGCCGTACGGAGACCGCAAGGCGAGCGTAGTTTTCCTACGCTCGCCGTAGAAATACACTGATTTAATTGATCTGCGGTCGACGTACGGCCGCCGTAAGACAAATGTGACTGGGGTGTAGAGAATCATAATTTTTTCATTGTTGTTATTTGCACTCACCTCATCATACGTCTAGTTCCCATTGTCATTTCTCAATTTCAATTCAATTCTAATTGACGATATGGAAGGCGGTATAGTGGCTATAGTGGGAGATGAGGTCTTTAACTTTAACGGATTTCAATACACATCCCCTTTTCAGGAATCGTTAATACAGTGTAGAAGAATATTTTGATATGTTTAAATCGAGAAAAACAAGATCCTCTTTTTAGAAAATGAGCCTAACATTTTTAAAAAGTGCGAAGGTGGGGGTCCTAATTTTTCAGAGAGTTTGAATGATATTTTACTATCATGGGGACTTCACTTGAAAGAAAACATATTGTTTTAATAAAAACCACTGTATTGATGGCCAGAAAGTGCCCATGGTGAAAAATATGACCGTCTAAAATCACTTGCCATACGACAAATGGACCTTTGGATTTTCATATAATATACCATCACAAGTTCACAGAATTAGCGACAATAAGGTCCCGTGAAATGAAAAAGTGATTAAAGAGTAGATGTGATGGTTAAGTCCGTCATCTGTGACAACGGTAGCTGACTTTACCGTTGTCAGGGTGTTCCGGTGTAGGTAGCAAGACAGTTTACCGGAGACCATGGGCTTTCAACTAGCCCATGCGGAGACAAATATACATGATTTCAGAATAAAGTGAATGTAGATAGTTTGTCGATATGCAACTCAAGAAAGGAAATAATGCAATAAATAATTGATGGTGAACTGACTTTTAGTAAAACAATAATATTTCTCACCTTGCTTCATTCGTTAAAAAGACAAGCCAAAGAGGCGAGAAACGTTAATGTTTTAAATTATAATTATTCAATACACCATGAAGAGAAAACATGTTTATTTTTGATTTACACAATTTTAAAATTGTTATGCCTCTTTAAATTAACCCAACTCAATCAACCTTCATGAGAAATAATATGAAGAGAAAACCACGTGAACGATGATGCGCTAACGAACTTCAGTTTCTCTATTTTTCAATGCATAGAAATGGCCATTTACCTTATGTTTTGGAGGGCATGAAACCGCAGTTTCTTCAGCTTTCTGTCAAGTGCTCGCGTTGCATAAGCCAACGTAAATTGTGACATAATCTATGAGATAATTAAAACCCCACAAATAACTCAAATATTGCTCTACGACAACCTTGCGACACCCCCTTGGGGTGTCGTGGGTTTCACACGATAGCTATTGTCTTTCTACGACAGGTGTACGACATGGTAGTTTGTCGTAGGTTTACGACAAATTTCTGGAAACGGAAATTTTTTACTTGTCGTGAAAACACAATTGAAGTTACGATATCGTAAGTCTACGACATTTTTGGAAACGACCCCCTGTTTAATAACATCAGGTAAAGTAGATTTATATATACCCTTTTAATGAAAAAATATAGTAATAAGGAGAGTTGCTAACAGAGTATGATTTGCATTTCAAAATTTCTTGTCAAAATCATAATACTCGAGAGAATATCTCAGACAAGCACTATAATCCATGTATTAGATAAATTGTGCTCATATATAACATCGCAATGCACTTAAATTACATGAATTACAGAACAAATTATTCATAGTTTACGAAATACATAAAATATTCTTCTTATTCAAAAGGGTATTTGGCTCCAGTTCGCATTAACAATGTTTGCACATTATTCTTAAGTGCTAAACAGTCACAAACACAGGCCTTTTGATATTCTTTAAAAAAAATATTTAAATTGCTTGTCAGCTCACAAAATGTTTCACAATAGAGAGGTTTCTCACAACGTTTTATCTCAACGTATCTTAAGTCAGAAACGCATTCATCAGATGCGCAACAGTTCATAAAACAAGATACTATCGCGCGCCAGACTCCCGCTGAAGACCCGTATGCTCCCTCGGAGAAGGTCCGGTTGCGATTGAGGGGATGGGTGGATGTTACTCACGGGCGCCGATCTGAAATCAAATAGACTCTGTATTATCCCCTTCTCCCAGGATAAAATCTGCTCGGGAGTAACTACCGCTCTAGAAAAACACCTCTCTGGAGTTAACTCTTCTCTGCGAAACCATTCAGCTAAGGAGTAACCACTTGAACAACCGGGGGTCACACTCTCCTAGCCATGACGTAATATTAAATGTATGAGATGGTGTTAGAAATACTATATGGTAGCGTATATATGGCCTAGACTAGGGAGTGTGTTGGTTGTTATGAATTTTAATCTTACTGATTATCAAATTGTCCTACTTCATAAATGATAGTACAAAGGATATGATTTGATTATATATATTATGTAACTGTATTATAAAACTACTAAAATGATATGAAATATGTACAATGATGAATATTTACAATAAGGCCGACAGAATTGTATCAGACATGTACGTTGTTTCAAATAAGATATTGTTAGTACCTCAGTGAAAATACTCGCATCTGATTGGTCAATTAGCGGTCAACATTTTTGCCTGTACCTCACCTGTGCATCATGGGATATCATATTATTGACCTCGTATGTTACTGTACTACACTTGTGAATTATGGGGAATATGACGTCATAATGTTTACAGAAAAAACATGGTAGACAGACATTTCGTAAACGTTGATGAAAGTGATATTTTGACTTTGCTAGACGACAAGCATAGCAAAAATACAAAAAGAAACGAAACATTAACATTAATTTACTAGTGAGTACGCAGTTATGTGCCAAAAACAGAGAGTTTAACTACCACTTTCTTCAGATTTCCTTAAAAAATTATTGCTTGCGTGGTTCGGAGAAAAGGTTGTGAAATGAAGCCATGATTGATGACTGACGTCTATACACCTTCGGTCTCTGTCAACAGTAGTTTCTCGGTTTACAGTCTCGGTATACAATTTTGCCGGTTGACCTCTGGAGAGGTCAACAATTGTATACTGTAATAACTTCAAAAACAGTTGTCAATCTTATACTTGATTAACTCTTCGGTGGCCATCTTTTTACTTTAGGTACGATATTGATCAACCCGTGTCGTATTCCAATTTTTGGATCCATAATGGAAACGGTGGTAACAATATAAATAATTTTTTTGTATAATCATTATAATTTTCTTTTTAGCTGCCAAAATACCAGCTCACGATGAAAATAATGAAGTATGGAGCTACATGTGCGATTGTATTGGTGCTAGACATGGTTATCGGAGCCAATACAGGTGGGTATGCCTGTGATTTATGAATTTAAAGAATGCTGTCCTTCATTTAAGATTCACGTGCTTCACTAATTTTTGTTGAAAATCTCATTGAACGACTTTTAACCTGTATTGGTAAAATATGTGGTTACCATGTCAAGCAAATAGGAGGTCGTGCAATAATACAAGAATTGCTGTCCATAGATTTGCATTCAAGATCTAGAGAATCCATTACTATATCATTATATCCCACAGATATCCACATGGGTGGGAGCATGACAATGTGACTTCAGACGATAAAACATGCTAACATAACTAATTAAATTATTCCAAGACTTCAACTCCTGCATATTTTTAGTATTTGGTGAGACAATAGGCAGCTGTCCTAAGAGAGAGCAGATGTTATGTAAGAAGAGAGATATCATCAGTTTATGGAAGGAGCTGTCTCACGAACTCGGTGAACTGAAAGAGGAGATGGTTAACATAAATGAAACTGTGAATAATTTGAAGAAGGATGAACTAGGTGAATTGAAACAGGAGATTGATGACATAAAGGAAGCTTTGAATGATGTTAAGAAAGAAATACTGGGGATCGAGAATCCAATTCAGAGTAAGGATAGTACATGCATGAAATATTGTGTTTTTGAATTAAAACCCGGTTAATGGAATTGATCACTCGACCAATACGTTAAGCCTCTTGCGCATCTCTTCTTGCTCCACACACTTCAGTAACTATACATTCGAGCATCTTGCATTCAGTCAGTCAACAGTTAACATACTCGTTTTCATCATTCTTACAATACCATCATTCATATGTTTTTTACTGTATTACAATTTTTTTTCCTTGACGTCCTTAACCAGTTTAAACCCGTCTGCAATTACCTTGTTCTCAATACGTCCCCAGACAGTTCAACTCGTTCTAAAAACGTCTCTAGTATGATTGAACTACGAAAGTTCGTTGTATGCCCATCTCGTCTAAAGTATGTTGCCACCAGTTCAAATTGCAGAACGTGACGACCACTAGAAAATTTTGAGCATGTTCTAAGTTCCAGAGGACCTACACCCATTTGAGTACGTCCATGAATTTGTTAATAGACCCCAAACGGTTCTAAGTACGTTCGAACCGTTCGTACATAGTTAATGGAGAGGTTAAGCTAACGATGTTTTTCACTACGTAACCGTGAACGCAAAGTACAAAAATTAACAAAGGAATGTATCGGGCGCTCATAGTTTTATGCGCGCTTAGTCTACTTCAGATACTCTTTCAGCTTCAGAGTTTCGGGTTTAGAACGGGAGATTTGAAATTTGACGTTGAGTCAACGGGAACCATTTTACTCGTGTCTATTGGACACTATGCTGTCAATTTTGATTTCGATGCACAGTTGAATTCTTGCTGAACACGATGATGTATGTCATGCATGATTTAGCGCCAAAAATCTTACGAAACGAGCTCGTTTAAAATATGTATTAGAAAACCAGCTATAAAACCGCATCAATGACATACTATAGAATCATTACACGCTATGGTGTAGTCTAAACAAACACTGGATTTGAACGGCTATTTATCACACTACCCTACCTCGATAGCGCATGCGCGAATTTTTGGGCTTTCAACCACGTCGCTTTTGAGTATTTCGACTGCTTAGTCAAAAGGTTAATACGTTTGGTGCTCGGAGTGAGTCAATATTGCTATTCGCTGAACTTGAGTGGTGCAATAGTGAAGTCCATGTTCCAAGTTATATGATAGTTGAAGAAAGAATGTAAATAATATCGTTTTAAATTTTAAAATATTTGATATGTCATAGTACACGGTACACAGATGCAAAAGTTGATCAATACAGGGTACAAGGAATCTAAATTGCTCAATAGTACAGGGAGCGAGAAAGTAAGCTGATTATACAGACATACTATGTCCCGATCTCATTTACATTTACGTTACAAACAGTGAAAATAATGCTAAAAAGGCCGCCTGTTGATGCTTTGAGGTGTCATCAATTGTTATTTAATCCAAATAAAGTAAACATTATTGTGTAGATTTAGACACGGGCTTTCAGGTCGTATACTAGTATGCATTTTAGTCATTAAAGAACGCTAGATTATACGTGTTACTAGGGTATCAATTTAAAATGAAATAACGAAATTAAATATGAACACGTTAATGATAAATGACTATCCGCTATCAGGATTAATGACTATCCGCTATATTCAGAATAATTAAAATTGCCTGAACTACATGTGAAGAATCGTTCTATATAATCCTTGAATGGTCTAATTCACTACCGTCCTAAAAAAAACGATCATTTAAAATATTTTATTCAAAATATCACCATGCCACGACTTGAGAGCATTTTGTTCTTCACGATTTGCTGTGGCGCTGATATGACATCGTATTTCTCTATAATTGTAAAAAAAACTAATACCAGATCGATGTAGTCTTATATGACGTGTTGAATGTCAGATGTTTTTGGATGGTATCTGCTCCAGTGATTTTGCATTTAATCATTAAACGCTCATCACAAGACACCTCGAAACAAACATTATCCTCTTTGTGACAAGAGGAAAAATGTTTCACAACATGTTATGCCTTACGGCAAAGTAAAGATACATTTCTGGGACGACGTTTTTTGCATCTTAAGATTTTAGAAAAACAATTAATTCACAAAAACACAGTTGAATAACATACTGGAAAACGTATCCACATATAACACGATGACAGGCAGTTTAAATAACAGTTAACTGTTTTTTTTGTTACATATCAATGTAACATTTTCGAAGGGAAACTTACATGTTCCCTGTACGTTGATAGATTTACTGAAATGTATCGTGTATTGCATTGAGTTTTGCTTCACTGCGCCCACTATTATCTATCTTTGCCTATAGTGTTTTTTTTGCCAACAATATTCTACAAACTGCTTGATTAATCAATTCTATGTCTGGTAGAATACTAGAAATAAATATAAAATGTATTTTACGTTCAGAAATATGGAATTAAACCCACGTCCTCCATTTGCAACTTAGCTGTACCCTGTTTCCCTTTTAAACGTGGTCACGTGGTAGGGTAGTGTGTTTATATGAGAAGGCTACATGAATTTGTATATGGTCGAGTGATACGTACAGGTTCAGTTTCGATTATATATGCAAAGCTTAACCTCTCCAATAAAGCCCGTTTTCGAGAACTTAATGATAACTCGTTTGATGTGATGGTAGGGTTATTTGGGTGATGCTTTATTGGTGTCACCCTGCACCTTTTATACGTATCAAATTTCATATCTTTAAGCATGTAACAATGTTTTTTATTTAAATAAAGTGACACCAAAACATCGCACCATGCAGATCTTTGACTTTTGCAGACATTTGCACTGCCAGCGTGTGGGGAACATCGTTTTGACATTTTCCAAATTCTATATTCTCTTATTAATCAAAAAATATTTAATTTTGAACAAAACCAATTGAAATCACAGATAGAATGCAGTAAAAAAAGTTTAGAAATGTATGAAAATGTCCTGAGAAGGTTACCTTGTGTAACCCATTGTAGAGGCAAAAGTCCGTGTTGCAATCAAAATGAAATGTACTTTATTTCTAGACGCCACGGTACCTTCAAACTTTATATTCATTTTTGTGGTGGAGTACCGGAAAATGATCCAGTCCAACAATCCTCTAATAACCTCATCATTAGGGATCGAAATGCTTTCTCGAGTTCTCGAATCCAGTTCTTTCAGACCCGAATATCATATTTTTCCAGTTCCACCTCATATGGACTGCAGTGGCAACAGAAGCTTTACAGGTGTTAGAACAATCCAACCACATGGACAAAATGCATTCAGAGCGTACTGTAGTGGCGGTTGTGTTTACATAGCCAGGCGCTTTGATGGGAGTGTTGACTTCTACAGGGACTGGGTAGAGTATCAGTCAGGATTTGGTAACCCAGAAGGAGAATATTTCATTGGCCTGGACAACCTTCATGGTTTAGTAACTCAAGAGAAATATAAACTAAGAGTTGAACTTACCATGTGGCCCCCACAGAGTGAAACACGTCATGCTGAATACTTTGTATTTGATGTGAGTGATGAAAGTGATAACTATAGATTGACAATTGGGGGTTATAGTGGAAATGCAGGGGACTCACTTAAAGTGCAAGATGGTATGGCATTTAGTACAAAGGATCGTGATCGTGATCCAGCCGGCATCAATTGTGCTGTGACCCACAAAGGGGCTTGGTGGTATAATAAATGCCACGATTCACATCTGTTTGGTCTTTATAATACTAATGCTAATTGCCCTGCTTGGGGTGATTGTGTGACATGGAGGCACTGGCCAAACACAATTGGCTCACCTGACAATCCTTACTATTCATTTAAAAAGGTTGACATGAAAGTTTGTCCAAAGTAAAAGTATCCTTCATATTCTAATATGATACACAAAGTCATACAATATACAGATGCCATTTGGGTTAAGGTAAGGGAATGGGAACATATTGGAGTGATGAATCACTTAAGAACTTCTTTAATTACCTTTCAAAAGTCCATGTGCAGTATTGCAAGTGATTTTAGACAGTCATATCTTTCACCAGGAGAGTACTTTCTGGCCATAAATACACTGTGTTTTTTATTAAAACAATAGGTTTTCTTTCAAGTGAAGTCCCCATGATAGAAAAAATATCAACCCAACTCTCTGAAAAATTATGGATTAGGGCCCCACCTTGGCACTTTTTATAAAATGTTAAGCTCATTTTCTAAAAAGAGGATCTTGCTTTCCTCGATTGAAGCATATCGAAAGTCTCCTCTACACTATATTAACAATTTCTGGAAAGGGGATAGGTATTGAAATGCGTTAAAGTTAAAAACCACATATCCCATGTTATTTTCAGATATGGAAACCTTGTGCTATCCATTGTTTTCAGCATAATTGTGGTCATCGAAAATTGTTATCTTCAAAACTAGACTTTTTTGAATATATAAGCACAAATGCCAAAGGGAAGGGTGACTAAAAACTTTAAAGAAACCCAACCAGAAAAGCAAACTGTAAGTGTAAATCTGTCATAAGAAAAGTAGTCCCTACATATCCCAAGTCCATGATCTAACGTGAAAAGAAACAATGTCTAACACCCCCCCTCCAATCGAGAACCAATATCACAATCCAGGACCAGAACACCAAGGGACATTTCATTCATATTGAAGTCATTACAATACATGTTGAAGAAAAATTGAAAAAAATGATAGCTAATACTCATAACATCAAAAATAGTTGTAGATACTAATACTCATAAAATGATGTGGGATAGATAAAATCCAGTCTCGAAGTCCATAGGCAATTCAAAGGGTCAACATCCGTTCGCAAAGCCGTCATCATAATCCATAAAACACAACAATTCACTATGGTCATCAGGAGAAAACTATGGGTGGTTTCTCAACCATTAATGCCATAGCCGGAAGATGTTTTAGACCCCTTGTTGAATAATCTTTTCATGCAATAAAAATCAGAAAAGAAGATCCTCTTTTGAGTAAATAGGTTCAATAATATGAAAAAAATGTTGACATAGGGTCCCTATTCATAATTTTTCGAATTGTTCGATCTATATTTTTATTGTCATGAGTACTTCACTTGAAAGAAAACCTATTGTTTTAATAAAAACCACTGTATTTATGCCCAGAAAGTACTCCTAGTGAAAGGTATGACTGTCTAAAATCACTTGCCATACTGCACATGGTCTTTTTGGATTTGATACTGTATAGATATTTGGAGCTGAGAAGTTGAACTTAGAATTATGACAGATATTTTGATCAGTTGATTTATTAGAACAAACAAAAAGTTCTAAAAAACAAGCCGAGTGTCCTGTATAAGAACCCATATTCTAACCATTTAATCACTCAATCAACAGGAGTTTTTCAAGGGTGTAATTGACTTAACATGGGGGTGCAATTTATTTCATCCTGCATAACTACGGTAAATACGCAGGATGAAATCAATTGCATCCCCATTATAGGTCACCCTTGCTGAAATCCTCATTTTCTCAGAAAAACTCAAATTGATCGAGTGGATTTATGTTGATGAGTATTGCTAGAATCCGTTGTCAATAGTTATGAGACATACAGTGCTTTATAGGGCCAGGATCACTGGATACGACTCGGTAGTTCATGCTGCTACCTTAAAGCTTAACTAAGGTATTTTGATTTTTTGTTTGATACTATATTGTCAATTTACTCCATTTAATTGATTTGGCACATTCTACCTTTATTAGTTATGTACCAAAGACTCCCAAATATTTAAAATTCGTATTTTAACTGTAACCACATCATATACAAAATAAAATAAATTCTACATCGGCCTGGCCTTATTCCTTAATTGAAATTAATTCTTTTATTGTAATGATAATTTAGCAGGTTAAAGGTTGTAAATAAAATGCATTGATGGTTCATATATTTCTTATGTTTACATTTATTTACCATCATGCCTTTTGGAGGCAATTTGAAAATAGTTATAAACCTTTCACATTTCCCTTAACCCACAAACATTATGGAGGAATTATAATGAATCATAATGGAATAATGAGCGCAAATGGAAACACATGTGTATGGATTGTAGGCTGCAAGGTCAAATTTCATTTTGACAATTTGCATATAAAAATTCAAAATCGAGTACTGAAGAGTAAATGTCCTTTATCCATAAACAGCAGCCTTTAAAATTTGGACCAAATCTGATAACTGATTTTTATCATAATCATGTATATTTCTCCCTGCCGTATTTCAGCACATAAAATCTAAACCAAATCTTACAACTGGTATATGAGTTATTTGATAATATTGGTGGCCATTTTGAACAGCAACAATCTTGAAAATTCCTTCTTGAACAAATATTTCATGTCCTTAGTATCCGACAACTGGTATTTGAGTTAGCAACGATTTAATTATTTACATTATTTATGAAAGATGGCAGCCATTTGTAATTTAGCAGACATATTAGATATTTCTTCTCGAGCGAGTGAGTAAACAACAATTACACGTTTTCATAAAAATTGAAAATTCCTCCTTGAGCGGAGGTCCTATGACCCTAAGACATCAGCATATAAAATCTGAACCTAACTAGAAAGCATATGAGATTGGAACCAAATCAGTTCACTGGTATTTGAGTTGTCAAAGATTGAATTTTCCTACAAAAAATGGCAGTCATTTTGAAATTCAGCTTTCATCTTGAAAAAGACTAGTCTCGGTTTGGAGAATGAAGTTCATAAGTCTAGGTGCAATTACGCTTGCTTTGGACAATTTTGATATTTTTACATTATTTCTGATTTACATGTTCTCTTTTGAATTTTCATTTGGGTGTTGTTTCTATATTTTTCATAGAAAATTATTAGCGCAGTAGACTGATGAACTTCGTTCTCCAAACTGAATCTGAATCTGTCTACTGCACGTTACGCCTGCATGTCATTTGCTAAGATTTTTTATGACATTTAAGGGAATACATTTGATGTGTCACATGGGGTAAGACGGTTCCCTCAAATTTGTTTCGGCAATAGTATCTTATTGTTCACCTTTTGCTCGCTTTCATCCTTTTTTAACCAAATAAACATTTAGGTTACTAAAGGTTAGCCCCTATTATTATCTAAAATTAAACAAACATCCTACATTGTACAATCCTATAAACCTTAACAACGACAAAAAATAATTAATTGCTATGGTAATATAACTTCATCCCACAATCGAACTAGATTGAAGTTGCCCAGGTCTCTCGTTCATCCTAAAGATAAGGTCAAACAGGATCGCAAAGCGAACGTGGTATATCAAGTTCCATGCAACAATTGTAATAGAAGTTACATAGGAGAAACAAATAGACCTCTTGGCACTCGCATCAAGGAACACAAAACAGAAGCAGATAAGAAAAAGAGTCACTACACTAGAAACAATAAAAAGATTATTTAACAGCTTTAAGAAATCAGCGATTTCAGATCATATTCTCCAAGAAAACCACGAAATTGATTGGAACAATTATAAAATAGTTAGCACAGAAAGGAACAGAAACAATAGGTTGATAAGAGAAGCCATTCACATCAGAAAACATAAAAACTTCAATAGAGACATGGGCAACTTCAAACTAGTTCGCTTATGGGATGAATTATATTACCATAGCAATTAATTATTTATGTCTTTGTTCAAGGTTTAATGACGTAATAGTAGATTTACCTGTATTCATTTCAACTGTTTTCAATTTCAATTTAGTGATCATGGATGCAGTTTGCATTTGAAACGTCTAAAACAAAAAATTGCAATAAAGTCTGTGACAATGAACACTAATAAATGGATTTAATATTACCAGACTATGAACTTATTTAATGTAATCGTGTTGTCCTAAGCAAAGTCTGTGGCGTTACCACCGACGTCTTATATGAAACACAACTCATTTTATGAATCAACCGCCACGTATAAGATATGCATGCTGGTTACATTTCATTACCACTCATTAAAGTGGGCTTACTGCGAAACGTACTTAAATCAAACGTCCAGAAAACTGAAAACGTAAATATAAGGTTGTGACATTTATTGTTGGATTTACTTGGCAAAAAAGTATAATGTCAACTGGTTGCTCAAATATCATTAATCTAATGCCATCACAGGTGTAGTTATAAAACAGAGCAACACAAACAATAAAACACATGGTGAATTGTGTGTATATTTACATGTAGAAAATTACTGGGATTGATGAGATAAAAATATCATTACATATATAATTATATGTATATAAATTCCCATCCATCCAATGACATTTAATTAGAAACAATTGCATCTTCACTGGTTTTCTATTTGAGTGCATTCTGTTTAACTCGGATGACATCAGGTAATGTAGATTTTATATTAATAGCTTTTTCTGAAAAATATTCTTGAGATATTGCAGTATTAGAAGGGAGTAGCTGACAGAGTATGATTTATATTTTACAATTTCTTGTCAAAACCATAATTGATAGCATGTCTCAGACAAACATTAATCCGTGTATTAGGTAATATATAATTATACTCACGTATAAATCTAGAACATCACATTCACAATGGTGATCAATACACCTTAGGAAATACATAAAAAATCATTCTTATTCAAAATGGTAAATGGCACCAGTATTTGTACATTTTACAATGTTGGAATATAATTTTAAGAGATAAACATTCATACCAGCCTTTTGATGGTCTTGAAAAAATATTATAGTCGGTTCACAAAATGTTTCATAATATCTAAAATGTCTTTACAAGTAATATTAGCTATGATATAAAAGAAGTTTTCTTATCAAAGCTAAGGACTGTCACAGATTGTAGTTATGTTTAGATCACTCTAAGACAGTCACACGAACGAATATGAGATTTCTTTTCCTTTAGTTGGCCATATACACAGACCAAATATACAGAGCAATTAAAATACAATTTTTTGTCTCGTCTCTGACTTTTACGTGGCTAATTTTGAGTAAATCATGTATTTTGCGGGTAAACTTTGGGTAAATGTCCAGTAAACAAACATGAATCATATGAACATGTATATTTACATATTTTTGATACTTCCAATCTTCTTTCTACCACACAATTGAATAAACAAAAAGAGTATAGTAACAGAGTAAGCAAACATTTTTATTATATTTGACCTTCGTATAGACGCATAATGGAAAAGGTAGTAACAATATAAATATCACTTTTGTATAAGGGTATAATCAATAATAATATAAACAATTTTCTTTATAGGCACCAAAATACCAACTCAAGATGAATATAAGGAAGTATAGAACTACATATGCGATTGTCTTGGTGTTAGCCATGATAATCGGAACCAATACAGGTGGGAATGCCTGTGAATAATAATATGTGAATAATAAATTAGAAAAACGCTGTCCTTTATTTAAGATTCGTATACTTCCATTATTTTCGTTGATAATCTCATCAAATACTCTAAACATGTACTGGTAGAATATTAGGTTACAATGCCAAGCAAATATGTGGTTTTGACATCAAGAACAAGAATGTTTCCCCACAGATATGCATTATCATATCATTAAATTTCACAGATACCCATATGACAGCATGAATATGGGACTTCAGCAGATAATGCATGCCGATATGACTTTAATGATCCTACAAATTGAGCTCTTGAATATTTTTAGCATTTGGTGAGACAATAGGCAGCTGTCATAAGAGAGAGAAGATGTTGTGTAAAAAAAGAGACATCACCAGTTTATGGAAGGAACTGTCTGATGAACTTAGTGAACTGAAAGAGGAGATGGTTAACATAAAGGAAACTGTGAATGGTTTGAAGAAGGATGAACTTGGTGAATTGAAACAGGAGATTCTTGACATAAAAGAAACTGTGAATGATCTGAAGAAGGGTGAACTCGGTGAATTGAAAGAGGAGATGGTTGACACAAAGGAAACCCTGAATGAATTAAAGAAGGATATACTGGGGACCAAGAATCAAATTCGGGGTAAGGGTAGTACATGCATGAAAGCTAATAAGTTTCGTTTTTTAGTAAATATAAATAACAATTTGCATTGGTTGGATTCAATGAATTATACCAAGTAATGGCATTTCAATGTATTTTGTAACTCAAAACATACAGAAAAAAAGAAGAATTGTATTTTTTGCAGGAATTAGACACACCTTACCTAGCTATCATCAATGCATGAAAATGGTTCAGAGAAAAATGCATTTCAAAATTCTAGTTCTATATATAGTAGAAACCAATGTTACAGTATACAATTGTTGACCTCTCCAGAGGTCAACCGGCAAAATTGTATACCGAGACTGTAAACCAAGAAACTACTGTTGACAGAGACCGAAGGTCGAGGTCAACAGCAGTTTCAAGGCAGTTTCAAGTCGAGGTATATGATTTTGAAGGTTGACCGAATGGAGAGGTCTACAATTGTTTTGTTAGTCAGAAGAAACTAATGATACACATATAGACGACAATCATCAATCATGGCTTCATTTCACAATCTTTTCTCCGAACCACGCCAGCAATGATTTTTTACGAAAATCTAAATACAGTGGTAGCTAAACTCTCTGTTTTCGGTACATCACTGCGTACTCACTAGTAAATTAATGTTAATTTTACGTTCCTATTTGTATTTTTGCTATACTTGTCGTCTAGTAAAGTCAAAATATCACTTTCATCAACGTTTACAAAATGTCCGTCTACCATATTTTTTCTGTAAACATTATGACGTCATATTCCCCATAATTTACAAGTGTAGTACAGTAACATAAGCGGTCAATAATATGATATCCCATGATGCACAGGTGGGGTACAGGCAAAAAAGTTGACCGCTAATTGACCTATCAGATACGAGTATTTACACTGAGGTACTAACAATAATATTTGAAACACAATATATTCATCCTTTTAACCTGGTTAGACAATCAACATTGGATTATTTGTGAAGTTTAGCATATTTAGAAAAGATTGACGGGGGTCGGGGGGTCGGTGTATCCCTAAAAATTCCCCATTGTGCTGATTCTGTAACCATGTTAGAAAAACATAGAAAAGAAGTCTCTCGTCCCAAATTCCAGGTCGATCCATAGATGTTGAGAAAATCACTGACTCTAAGAGTTTTGTGTCCTTTTCATTCAAATTTTCAAAAGGAGGTGTTAAATACAGTCTCGAATAAGATTGCCAAATGTCATTGAGTTTTCTCAAATTGATGAAAAATGTGGTCACTATGGCTACTTCTTTCGGGGTATGTCGGTAAATCATTAAAATATTTGAGTATAAAGTGATGATACAGTGTATGTGTTAATAAAAACATCACTAGATATGCTAATATAGTAAAAGGTACTTATTTGGTCTTATTAATAATCAGAGAAAGGATCACGGAAGGTATCGCAACAGATTTCAAACTGTCATATGTTGGATTTCGGCTATTTATCGGGGATTTGAACAGGTACATATGTTAGACCAATGCATTAACTCATAGAGGTGATAAAATAATTCAGACTTTGAGACAGGGAAGGTGCAAACACCCCACAAACGTTTTTCTGAAATGTTGACCTGATTTTCAGCCCTTTCCACTCATGTTTTTCAATGTTTGATGCATCCAATGTGTTGCAATTTTAAACACAGTTAACCTCTTTAAAGGAAAATATGATTCATTTGGGATAAAGTGGAAAACAATATTTTCAGTGTTATTTTTCCATGGGGAAAACTCATGTTATCCATTGTTTTCAGCTTAATTTTGGTCACCCAAAACCTTTTTTAAAACCCCTGCATGAATCATAATTTACTTTTAAAGATGTTAACGTGTCTCAAAACGCAAACATTGAAAAAACTGGTGTGGAAAGGCTGGAAACCAGGACAACATTACAGAAAAACACATTGATGGAGTCTTTGCACCTTCCTGTCTCAAAGTCCAAATTATTTTACCATCTCTATTACTGCTTCTCCTGGAGTTAATGCATTGGCCTAACATATGCACCTGTTGAAATTCTTAGAAAAAAGACAAAATCTAACATACGATTGTCTGAAATCTGTTGCGATACCGTCCGTGGTCCTTTAAAAGAAAGTTATTTCTAGTTACATAGAGTAGTTTTCATTCTCATCAATACATATTTGCCTTGTTGAAATCATTGGTGAAACAAGTAATTTGACCATAACGAATATTTACCTCATTTTGACACACTTTTGTTTGACTTAGATTGTCTTAAGGCTGTTTTATCTGAAACCCCGAAGTGTCTCTGTTTCAAATCTTCAAACAATCAAGTCTCATCTTTCCTTTATATCTATTATCTGAATTTATTTACATGGAAGTCCTTTGTTTCTGAAACTGTTTTCAATACTTAACATTTTCCAGGTGACTGTTTTACAAAATTATTGTGCATTGTGAATCTTCACTATCTACCTGACAGTGTTATGGTCAAAGTAGGTGGTAAAGAGAAGTCATGAATCTTTTACCTCTTATACCATCAATATGTTTTAAATCAACATGTTTACCTGAAAATAAAATGTGGTTGCAGACATAGGCGTAGCCAGGGAGTTCGATGGGTGCACCCCCCCCCCCATAACCAATAAAAATAAGACATGAAAAAGAAGAAGAAAAGAACTTTAAAATGCTTTTTATTTGAAGCTTCTAGCTCAATTTTGAAGGAAGTTGCATCAATTTTTGTCAAATTCAAAATAAATCTTATTTTTGGCTTGTTTATTCCACAATCGCACCCCCTCACTGGAAACCAAAATTTTTTGTCGTTCGCACCCCCCCCCCTGACTGAAAGCTGGCTACGCCCCTGCACAGATGCACCCAAATGGTGTCTTATTCATAATGTAATAAATGAAATCATTGTGGTCTGTATGTGCAGTCTATTACTCTATTTGCCTTATAATAATACATTTACTGAGTACATGTATTCTCTCCTAATATTATTTCCTAATAAATATCCAACAGCAGTTTCAAAATTATTGTATATTGTATTTTACCTGAACTTTTCTAAAATATCGTATATGGTATAAGAGTTGTGAAAAATATTGTATATGGTATAAAATGGGTGAAAAAATATTGTATATGGTATAAGAGAGTTGAAAAATATTGTATATGAATTCCCCTCATTGACATTGAAAGTTTTTTTCAATTTTTTCAATTTATTGAAATAGCGTGCCCTTTGTTTAATCTTTGTATTGGTGTTTAAATTTTCCGTACTGTGTAGTAGAATAGTTGATAAATAAAAAATGTCAACTTTGATTTGAAAATGGCGAAAAAGGGGCGTGAGGTGTCTGTAGAATAAATTGGGGGAGTTTTTTCATGCATATCGCCTATGTTTTTCATCTTTAAAACAGGAATACACTTTAAAACGTTTTTTTTACTATAAGATTGCACCATATAATCCCAAAAATTATTTCTAATTTTCAAGGATTATCCATGGATTATAACCAGGTATTTTAATATTTCTAACTTCAGAGGGCTGGGAATCATCATCTTAGTACCCCGGACAGGTTGTATGATGCAGTCGTTTTTTACTCTATATTTGCAATAGAACAACCATTCTTATTAAAATTTTCATATTTTATTCTGGAGACAATTTCCAACATGGAAAAAATTTTTTTTAACGAAATTCCTAATTTTATGATTTTGATAGGCTTTTTTCAAAAACACTCCACTGTCAATAAAATACAGGTTTTGCTTGAACAATTAAACTTTTAACGTCATTTCAAAGATTGTCTAGTTATTGAATTTTGGCCGCCTAAAGTCTTTCCAGATGAATTTGATGCCATATTAATTATGGCTGATTATTGTTATTCATTTTTGTCATATTCAATAGGCCTAATTTTATTACAGTGCATTAGGCCAATGAAAAACTTGTCACTCTGGGTCATGTTTCCTCTGAAAACGCACCTTTTGCTCCACTGGGTTTTTCCACTACCGTCACTCAGCATGCAAGCCGTGGCACAAAAATTGTACCATGCTTTTAAAATGTCAGGTCTCCCTGACAATTTCACGATTACATTTGACACAGCTATATTAACCTCTCTGAAGGATCTAATGCCAAGAATACTTGAAATTGGAGATTCGTAATGTTTTACTTCATTTTGGACAGTATTGAACAATTCGATCGGGTTGAACTCATGTCCGTGGACAAGAAGATTGACCTCCTCTATCTGGGCTCAATCTAGGAAACGCTTCGCAAAACGAGACCCAGAGCAACAAGTTTTTATTGGCCTAATGCAATGTAATGATATTGAATATGACTCAAGTGAATAACAATAATCAGCCATAATTATTAATATGGCAACAGATATATCTGGAAAGACTTTAGGCGGCCGAAAATTCAATAGCCAGACAATATTTGAAATGACGTTAAAAGTTCAATTGTTCAAGCAAAAACCTGTATTTTATTGACAGTGTAGTGTTTTTGAAAAAAGCCCGTCAAAATCATAAAATTGGGAATTTCGTTAAAATATATTTTTTCCATGTTGGAAATTGTCTCCAGAATAAAATATGAAAATTTTAATAAGAATGGCTGTTCTATTGCAAATATAGAGTAAAAAACGACTGCATCATACAACCTGTCCGGGGTACTAATATACACTTTATTGGGATGCGATATAAATGAAAGCAACCCAATAAGGTGTATATTAAAGATTAACCTTCCTGTTATCTCAAAATCTGCTTAGAATCACACCATTGGATTAACATGGGAAATTCCTCCAAGAGAATATTCTAGAGATTAAAGAATTGGTGTAGTTTACACAATTTGAGAAATTATTGGCATACATGGAATCTATTTAAATCAGCATTTATATTATTCAAAACCGTCGAGCACAATGATTCCCAGCCCTCTGAAGTTTGAAAAATAAAAATACCTGGGTGTTGATCCATAGATAATTCTTGAAAATGAAACTTTTTGGGGATTATATGGTGCAATCTTATAGTCAATAAAATGTGTCAGTGTATTGTTGTTTTTAAGATGAAAAAACCAAAATGCATGAAAAAACTCCCTCGATTCATTCTACAGACAACTCGCGGTCCTTTGAATATTTGAGAAATGAAAAGCTGGCAACTCAATTTTTATTCAAGAATTTCTGAAATAAATTTTACAGTCATGACAAATAGTATATAAATGAAAAAAATATTTTCAAACTAAACATGGGGACTTGAAGATATTCAGAGTTAGTGATTCAGACCTGAATATCTGATTTTTTCAGTTGGACCTCATATGGACTGCAGTGAAGACAAGAACTTCACTGGTGCTAGAATAATCCAGCCACATGGACAAAAGGCATTCAGAGTATACTGTAGTGGTGGGTGTGTCTACATAGCCAGGCGCTTTGACGGGAGTGTTGATTTCTACAGAGGCTGGGCAGAGTATCAAAGAGGGTTTGGTAGCCCAGGAGGAGAATATTTCATTGGGTTGGACAACCTACATGGTCTATTAAATCAAAGTAAATACAGTCTCACAGTTGAACTTACCACGTGGCCACCACAGAGTGAAACACGTCATGCTAAATACTCTGTATTTGATGTGAGTGATGAAAGTGATAACTACAGACTGACAATTGGAAGTTATAGTGGCACTGCAGGGAACTCACTTTCTTGGCACACTGGTATGGCATTTACTACAAAGGACCGTGATAATGATAAATTTGGCAGCAATTGTGCTTTGTCGTTCACAGGGGCTTGGTGGTATAAATACTGTCACATTTCAAATCTGTTTGGTTTTTATGGTACTAATGCTAAGTGTGGTTCTAGGTGTATGATATGGCGCGAATGGCCAAACCAAATTGGCTCACCTCACAATGATCACTATTCTTTCAAAAAGATGAATATGAAAGTTTGTCCAAAATAAGAACATCCTCCATATTCTAATATGATGCAAAATGTCGAACATAATATTTAGAGGACACTCGAATTAAGGTTAGGGGAAGGGGGGCATATTGGAGTGTTAAATCACTTACGAATTTGTTAAATTACCTTCAAATGTACTGTATATGGACTTGAGAAGTTGAAATTAGAATTATAACAAATATTTTGATCCTTTGAATTTCTGCCATTTAATTGATAGAAAACTCGAATTTTATACCTATGTCAAACACCCCTTAATATTTAGTTTTGTGACGATTTTCGTCTCAGACTGATTCCGTCAATTGTTCGTGACGCTTAAATCATTTAACCAATCAGATGACGGGTTTCGGCTATATAAGTGACACATTTTATTCGGACTGTCAGACTTTGTTCAACCAACAGATGACACACACACTTTTTCGTTTGTAAGTAACTTTTAAAATAGACTCATTGTAAACCTTAACCTTAAATTTTGCTTTTGTTCTACATCCAGCGATACGCAAACCCCCCCACTCTATTCCATCTCAAGCCTTGGCAGCTCGCTACCACTTAGAGAGAAAACGACACATAACAGTATTTTAACAATAACCACATCATATATAAAATAAACTAGAATTAATTCTAATTAATGAAATATTGGCCTGGCCCTATTTCTTAATCAAAATATATTTTTATTTTAAGAATAATTGAACAGGTTAATGGATGTAAATAAAATACATTGATGGTTCACATATTTCTTATGTTTACATTTATTTACCATCATGCCTTTTGGAGTCAATCTGAAAAAAGTTATAAACCTTTCACGTTTCTCTTAACCCACAAACATTATGGAGGAATTATAATGAATCATAACATGTATAATGGAATAATGAGCGCAAATGGAAACACTGGTGTATGGATTGTAGGTTGCAAGGTCAAATTTTATTTTGACAATTTACATATAAAAAATTCCATCTCGAGTATCGAAGAGTAAAGGTCCTTTATCCATAACCAGCAGCCTTTAAAATTTGGACCAAATCTGATAACTGATTTTTATCATAATCATGTATATTTCTCCCTGCTTATAAGTCATTAACGTAACGCACATAAAATCTAAACCAAATCTTACAACTGGTATTTGAGTTATTTGATAATATTGGTGGGCATTTTGAACAGCAACGTACAGTCTTGAATATTCCTTCTTGAACAAATATATTATGTCCTTAGGTATCAGCCAAGAAGAGGGAAACCCCCAGAGCTTAGATATAATCACGTCACTTGCTTACAATCTTCATTTGTTCAAATTCCACCTGCCATGTGCTAGTTTTCGAATATAACACGTCAATGTGATGTTTTAATCGACGTTAAGCATATTCCTTACATGTATATCTTTCTTTATACTGCTGTGAAATAACAACCTATGATATTGGTTAACACGCCAGAAATGAATATAGTATTATTCCAAGCGTATTTCGAAAATATTGATGGCCACCATTTTGCATTGTTTATCGATTTTGATAGATCAGAGACGTATGTCATCTCAATGCAGGTTTACATTATAAGCGTATGTCATCTTTGAACTCTGGGGATAATCCACATCTTGTATCAGCCTACATTTGAACCAAATCCGACAACTGGTATATGAGTGAGAGAAGATTATGAGATAATAAAAGATTGCAGCCATTTTTAATTGAGCAGACATACTAGAATTTCTCAAGCGAGTGAGTTAACAAAACTTACATGTTTTTCATAAAAATTGGCCATTTCGAAAATTCCTTCTTGGGTGAATGTCCTATGACCCTAAGATATCGGCATATACTATTTGAACCCTATTAATCCAATAGTATTTGAGTTTTAGAGGATTATATTTTTACAAAATGGTGGCCATTTTCGAATTACGTGGCCACAAAGGAATCTTTACCAGAGATTCTATTCCTATATGACACCAGCCTCTTAAATTTGGACTTAATCTGACAACTGGTATTTGTTTTCCCAAAAATGGTCGCCACTTCGGATTCAGCAGCCATCTTTGAAACCTTTTTCTTTGACAAATACTCTTTGTCCTTACCATTTATTGGAAATTCTATCTGAAACACAAGTCTCATGCTCGTATTAGCTTATACCATTTGAACCAATCCGTACACTGGTATTTGAGTTATTGCTCAGAACAGACAGGCGCACAGGCGGATGGACAGATGGATGGATGACTTATAATCTATGTCCCGACTCCAGATTCGTTCAGTGGGAGAATAAACATCAGTCACATAAATATTTCCGTGTACTTTGAATTGTGCATTTTCTCGTTGAAACCCATGTTAATTAAAATATTTTTCTAGAAATAACTAAACAGTTAATCGGTCAAATAGGATAAAATCATGATATCGTATGTATATATGGTATAGACGTACTGGACAATTTTAAATTGTCATGAAATGCAGAATCCATTTACGTATCATTAATACACTAGATGCGAGTAGTAATAATCTTGATTTACGTCATTAAATATTCAAAATTCAGTCAAAGTGATGTCATATTTGAAGTCTACATGTAAAAGTAAATCTAAAAATATGGTTTCGAAAGTTGTTTATCAACTTTGAAAATTTTTTTTTTTTCGAAAATGTGACTTCTTGTTCGAGTTGATTCCCCATAGACCCCATGTTACAAAATCACAAAAAGTGAAATATCTTTTCTTGTATTAGACAGATATTAACATTTTCCTTTGCTGGACATATTTTAATTTGCATAACTATTAGATACATAAGGGTTATATGAAAATTGAACCACTAAAACAGATGTAATTTAACTTAAAGGGAACTTTCTTTTATACCCGCCATGCTATCTGACCCAAACGAGCCACCTGGTGGTGAAACTGGTAACTGCCTACTCGCATCTGCGTTATTACTAGTAACCCCAAAAAGATCATTTTGCAAATTATTTTAAAACTCGTGTCAATTTTGAAAAAACTGGGCAAAGCAACTGTAGCAACTATGTTCACCAAAATAAACACAGAGAATGATCGATCGAGGTTACAAAGTCATAAACATCGTGTATAAATTGGCACACAAACGTTGAAATCTCGTATTCCTCACGCTTAGTTCTCAAAATTAACATATGCTTTATTATTAATATAAATAATATATATTTCAGTATCAAGTTCATTACAATCATATATAATTTTTATGAAAAAATACTAATATGATGACACTAAAAATAAGTGTATTTGATTGCACAATAATTTTTACCAATGTTTAACATACTCGTAAATTACTAACTACAATTAAATACCTTGTAGCAATCGTAGGTTCGAACAATAATTTCATGAATTTGGTTCTAGTACGATAATGAGAACCTTCAACCGTGATAAATAAATGCTAATCTGTAAGACTCCAGATGATAAAATTGTTTTTAACTAGAATTATGGAATCTGGAGTCTTGAATTTATTCAATTTCAGCCATCTAGTTGTACTCATTGTGTGGATATGTTAACATAATGTACCTCAAGTACTTGTACCTCATATTTGGTACTAATAAGTGTGATACGTGATCGATCGATTTCCTAAAATGGTATCATAAATAAGTACTTTGCTGCATTGGCTACAACTTATCTCATCTTTTGGCATAAATCTGATATACATGTAGATATAGAAATGGTGCTTAGTGTTAACCTTATGCTACTCCCTACTCTACATCTATTGGCATACACCTTGTTTTGACTTGACACAGTGCAATTTTAGACAAATACAAGTATTTGTCCCTTTTTATAATTTTCACAAAATGTTGCTTTCTCTTGTAAGATGTTGATATCTTCACTTTTTAGAGTTGACAATGGTGTCTCATTTTTGCCTTCTCTTGTTGGGACCTGAGTTGACACAATTATGTCGTTGACAAATAAGTGTCTCGATCTAATTAGAACTTTAGGGTGGTCACAATGATACATTTTCAGTTGACGCAATGGCTCTTCTTATTTAAAAATGGCATGTGCAGCACTATAAGAATTGACACAATAAGGGATGATATAATGATAACTCTTTCTAGATCCTATGTCTATTACAATCATGCCTCAGGTTATCATAGTGTTTAGATTGTGTAGGTCTACGGTTTAATCCAGTTTTGAAGCTCAGAGTTGACACACTGCCTCACCATCTGGTTTCGCCATATTGGAGATTGTATATGGTTTAATACCATTTTGTAGCTCATTCTCAGTCAGTTCTTCCATGCTCGGCGTAGACTGAGCATCTAAAACAGTTCTACGGAAGGCTGGGCAAAAAGGTAGGTAATGAAAAAGTCGTTTTTTGGCTAACCAGTTAGAAATGAATGGTATGTCATAGATTTCAGCTGTTTCTTTTGATTGTGGAGATGTTGATGATAGTTTAGATGTCCACATCTCAATACCTCTTTCTTTATCAGTACCTGAAATACCCAGTCAGAAAATGTGACTACAATATTTACTGGTAGTTTTATTCATCTCATCATGACACTGAAGGAGAAGTAGATAAGGTGGGTATTCCCAAAATGAAGAAAAAACAGTACAAATAATAATGGTGGTCAGATACATGTAACTAAAACCAACCAAACCTACATTATTTGAAATTTTATCTTTTCGGGATACTCAAATCTTCTTTATTGGAAAAATGAGTTATGTCTTTATTTTAGTGTATATGTTGAGGAGAAATAATTGAAGTATGCCCTACCTGGTAATGTGGTAAAGTATGCCTTTTTGATATGTCTATTTAATATAAGAAATACAGGAGGCTCTACCTGGTAATGTGTTGTCTAAGATGAACCCCACTAGTCCAGCTAAGAAGTTATTGGTGCTCAGAAGTACGTAGAACACATTGTCTACAGTCTGAACTCCTGAAACAATGAATGAATCACTTGTCAAAGAAGTTTCTATTGTGTATTATACCATGGTCAGAGCAATATCAGGTACATGGTAGCAAGTGATAAGTCACATATTTGGGATAGGGATGATATCAGGGGTGATATTGGGATTAGAGGATGGGGGTATATATTGAAAAATTTAACATTTTTTCAAAAATGTTCTCTCGTTCAACAGAGGATTTTAAGTAGATATTGCTGACTCTCATATAATATCGTTATCCACCTGTCGGGATGATATGGGGAATATCCCTTGGATGCTATCAATATTTCCATTGGTCACTGCGTTCAATCGGGAACTATTGATATCATCAGATGGGTATTCCCCATATCAAATCCCTCCTGGTGAATAACTTCTTCATAGAGTATTTTTTATCATGATAGATCATAATATTCAATTTGTTATTAGTTAGGAGGGAAAAAGTGAGCTCCTTTGTAATGTGTCCGATCATCAGCATTGTTCATTTGTCTGTATGTCTGGGTGATTTTCAAGATTGCTTGCAGTGTTGTCTGCCTTTTGACAAGATATGTAATGAGATTTATGTGCTAAGAAAACGCAGTCGTCCAGTTTAAATACAAAAAATTAACCTTCTTATTCGTGTAACACGCATGAATTGATAGATTACCTGTATGTATTGATGAAGGATTTGCTTTGATCCACTGCGGGACAGTAAGACCAATGAAGAAAGAGAGTCCTATTACACAAAGGTTCCTAGAAGAGTTCAGATTGACGTACTGCAGGCTTGAGACGCCAACGGCTGTTATCATACCTAAAACAAAAAATAATAATTTCAAAGGCTAAAATTAATGACGTGATGCAAAGTGATTTGGACATGAGGATCAGAAATATCTTTAGATCGACTGATGAAAAACTATTCGAAATTGAAATATGGCTGGCTAAAGTCTTACCAAAGAGTACGAGGAAGATTCCACCAATAACAGGGTCGGGAATGGCGACAAACAATGCACCAAACTTTCCAAGTAAACCCAGGACTAACATGTACCCAGCAGCATAGTAAATTACACGCCTACTGCCACACTGCAAAACAACAAAGTGCACTAATAAAGGGAAGTATCTATAATCCTGATTCTTAATCATCCTTAATAACCCCACAATCAATTCATTATGATTTGTTAACTAATATACCATTTTGTCTGAAAATATCAACGTTTGAAAAAGCTAGTCACATAGTAATATGCAGCTTACTTTTATTACCCCTATTGCTGCTTTTAAGCTAACACAACAAAAACAGATATGCAGCTTGTAGTTTACCTATGTTACCACTATTGCTAGATTTGAGCTAATACAACATAAACAGACGCAACTCTGAGTAGCTTAGATTTTACCCTTATTTCTCTTTTTGAGCTAAAACAACACAAATAGATGCAGCTAGTACCGTACCTTTGTTGCAATTATTGCTCTTTTTGAGCTAATACACCATAAGCAGATGCAGCTGTTGAGTTACTTTTATTACTATTATTGCTCTTTTCGAGCTAATGCAACATAAACAGATGCAGCTTTCAAAAAGCTTACCTTTGTTACCCCTATTGCACCTATATTGACTGTAGTTGATGTTGTTCCATTGCCAGTACCAAATGCCCCTGCTATCAAACACCCTAGCCCCTCAATTCCTATACCTGGAAAAATAGAAACATCAACATGTGTATTCTGAGACAAAATAACAGCAATCAACTGAAACGCCTTTATAAGTAGAACATGCGTGTAAGATGGACACTTTTTATAGCCCTATGACTCACTGACATATTAATCAAACCTCTATAAGCATCTACCTCTGACCTTTGGAAGGATTCTATTACATCAACAAAACTAAAGACGCCAATTGTTTCAGTGTTCTCCCATACAATATATAAAAATATCACGTAGTTTTAAATTGCACACTTAGTTCCTGAATAGTGGGGAGGGGAGCCTTAGACATTTTTCCTTTATGTATCAAATCATATTTTGGGATATTGAGGGCTCATTGTCATAATGACGGGTTGTACTCTTCCTTTTTTAACTAACAGTGTCTTAAACACTTTCGGTCTTCCCATTAATTGTTACTAGATAGTACTTCCATATTTCAAGGTACACCATACTTATCATTAACATTATAATACATACCTCTGTTAACAGCATGTGAGGGAGGTGGGGGTGCCCCAGAGATTCTAGCACATGCGTAGTAATCACCCACAGACTCCACAGCTGAGGCTAGCAAACCTGCTATGATACCTATCACACTGGAGATACTCACTGTTGGTCGACCCCACTGCCCTATGTGAAAAATATGAAAAGATATAATATTTTTCAGAATGAATATAGTATGAAACTGATTAATGCCAAGATTTCATGTGCATCAAATCAAACCATTATATCCTGCAACTTAAGATCAGATGGTTTACCTGGATATGGAAGTCTGATCCAGTCTGCATTATTCAGTACATCCATTTTAGTGTCAGTCCTCGCCTCGTATCCCCAGTGACCAGGTGTCTTAGGGAAAACATTAGTTGCAGTGAGAATACCACATATCAACCAAGTAATTACCATAGCGAGGAGCACCTGCGTCATAAAACAAGATTCAAAACGTGCCATTTCGAAGTGATACATTTGTGAAGTCAAGTAGAGGAAGGCGGGGTTCAAAGGGGCTTGTAGCCATAAGGCATAAGTATGCCATATATCAAATATATCACCATGCATGGATCATCTTTGTCATCATCATTTTTTCATTCAGTTTTATTAATTTAAAATCATTTCAAAATTCAAATAATGCACAGCCGCTATAAAGGAACTTTAGCACCATCACCGTTTTACTCTGTAGTAAAGGTAAAAGATCCATGGATGAACTTACTGGAAATGCCTGAAAGACTGGGTACCACGATATGTAACATCCTTTCTTCCTCTTAAATGAAGGGCAGGGGAACAGGATGTTCTTCATATATTGAGCAAATATTACTATCAGCACAGCTGTTCTATAATAAATCAATCAATAAATATGAGAATTGGGTAATTTATTTTATTTCATAATAAAAACATATTTGGATACAATCTATTATAACATATGCCCGGGGCTTCTTATCACACATTTAGGAATCTAAGCGTGTCTTCAAAACAGTCACAACTGAAATGATTCCTCTGAGAGTATTTTTCATCTACCGCAAAGCACTTTTACTTTGAACTCCCATAGGGCATTTTCAACCCATATTCTGCGTGAACCAACTTACAGTATTGCTATCCACCATTGTTTAGAGGCCAGGTTTGACGCAGTGTTGAATAGCGCCAGCCCTAATATAGAGACAGTCGGGGAGATCACAAGTGGCCCAAAGAAACGCAACACCAATCCAACAAGCCCTGTGAATCCTAATAAGATCTCAAATGTTGAAGCCACCATAATGGCGCCTTGAATCTGAAATAAACAAGTTGAAACGTTATATAAGGTTAGTATGTATGTAAGGTTATATTTGAAAAGACCCGGCCTTACCAAAACAGATTTTTTATGACAACAAAAGGATGAGGTTTAATGCGTTCAAAACAATGATTGACATGACTAAATTGAAAACAGAAATATTGACCTAATTTGAGGGACAGTATAAAACATAACTTGACTTATGTGTATCATGCTTTTAATATTACTACTGCTTTAATGTAATGATGTTTCTGTTTTAGCATTTCTGAAATGCAGGATAAAATACCAGATATCATGCTTCATTTTTGGGAAACCCGATATATATGTTCAAACCCAGAAGATTGAATACTGAAAAACCTCTGCTTCACTAACCTCCCTAAGTCGAGACTGCCACATCTCAGTATAAGCGGGTGTTCCCCTTGTCACTATATTGCTAGTGTCTGTAAGGTTGACAGCTGTCTCTGAAAGAAGGGAATGTTAATCAGTATAAGCGGGTGTTCCTCCTGTCACTACATTGCTTCTGTCTGTAAGATTTGCAGCTGTATCTGAAAGAAGGGAATGTTAATCAGTATACACGGGTGTTCCCCTTGTCACTACATTGCTAGTGTCTGTTAAGTTGACAGCTGTCTCTGAAAGAAGGGAATGTTAATCAGTATAAGCAGGTATTCCCCTTGTCACTACATTACTAGTGTCTGTAAAGTTGAAAGCTGTCTCTGAAAGAAGGGAATGTTAATCAGTATACACGGGTGTTCCCCTTGTCACTATATTGCTAGTGTCTGTAAGGTTGGCAGCTGTCTCTGAAAGAAGGGAATGTTAATTAATAGTGATATTGATACATTACAAGGAACAAAATATTCTACTGGGTTACTCAGTAAGCTTGCTTACAAAGTAGGTGTGCGATACTTAATGAAAAAAATCAAAAATATGAGGAACCGTGACTGCTGTGGAGCGGAATTTGTTTTAAAATTAGCTATTATACTAGAACCATGCTATGTTTTACTCAATTCAAGTATTTGAAACTGAACCAAGTAAAAATATGTAAAAATGGAAAATGATAAAAGTGACAAAATTAAAACTAGAGAACACCGTTGGTCTCTCAATGATGTAGTTTGTCTCACTAGAGGCGTTCACTTACAGAGGTGTTCCACTTTTTTACAGGTTTTACTGTACCTGTTTAACTGTATTTAAATACAATATATGCATTGATGTTCCTCTTTGAACCCTCTCATTTTAAATCAAAGAGTTTCAGATGAAATCTTGAAAATCACTTTATCAGATTACTAAGGTCCCAATGTTGACACTCGTAAAACAAAGCGAACTCTAGAATGGTTTTATCTCTCTCCCCTATAAATGTATAAAAATTAACAATCATATGAATTTGCCTTCCCCTGAACATATGAACTTTTTTATTTACAGCTCCCCTAACTAAAATGACAATTTTTCTTTCACAGCTGTTCTCAGTTGGACACTATTCCCTACCTGGTGAAACTACTGTTGGACACCTCCACTTTGGTAGTGAGAGAATTGCCAGCGAGGGTACCATCAAGGCAAAGGTACCTGCTTGCACTACAGGCAGCCTAAAACGCAACAAATCTTACTTTGACAATGTACTTTTATACTGTGCTTAGTGGTAATAGTTTAACTTTGATGCCGTTTCGCATTATTAGAAAATGGGTGTTCAACAAGGGTCATTGTCATATCCTACTTTATATTTGTAATTATAAAAAGGAAAGTTTGGTTGATTTCAAAAAAGTATCTTGTTAATGAAAGGTTTGTCTTAGTTTTTATCTATTTCGGGGATTTTCGTTTTAATTTTTTGAATACTTTTTGTTAAATCAACCAAAATTCCCTTTGTACAACTATAATATTGGGAAGTCTAAGAAAATGTTGTATATGCTATTTTGTTCAAACAAGCTTCGGAAAGACATTTTATTTCATTCTCAAGAAATGGTGAAAAGGAACAAAAAACAATTGCAATAAAAACAAAAAATGTTAACAAAAACAGTTATATAAAATAAAAATAATTATATATAAATTATTTTCGCATTGAATTGTTGTCAGTTAGTCAACATTATATAAAGGACCGTGTTTTTTACAGAATGTTTTCAATAATTACTCAGATGCGAGTAGGTAGTTACCAGTTTCGCCACCAGGTGGCTGATTCGGGGGAAATTACATGGCAGGGTATTACAAAATTCCCTTAAACTTAAATATTCATCAGTTTTAGTGGTTCACTTTTCACATTACCCTTATGTTTGTGATAGTTATACAAATTATAATATGTCCAGTGAAAGAAAATATTATCTGCTCAACACAAGAAAAGATATTTCACTTTTTGTGGTTTTACAATATGGGGTCTAAGGGGTATCTCCCCGACCTAGAAATCACATTTTTAAAGAAAATTAAATTTTCAAAATTGATAGACTCTTTTCAAAATATGATATCAGTTTGACTGAATTGTGAATTCTTAACGACGTAAATCAAGATTATTTCTACTCGCATCTAGACTATCGATTTAAGAGAAAAACAATGTTGAATTTAGTTCTCCATATTGATACCAATCCTTTGCCAAATAAAAATGAAATGTATTATTACCGTACACCCAATGCTACTTGTACAAGAGTTATGATTCCAGAAACAAACACAATTGTACTGATAAGTTCAGCTTTTACATTATTGTCGTCTCCAACACAGAGGGCAGGGGCCAGTGTGAATGGTATGGTCAGTGTGGCGGTGAACATTACTAGGAAATGCTACAATAATAGAGCAGATTAAAATTATCATAATGTTTGCTCATAACAATGCAGAATGTCTAGAAATGCTACTACGGTAGTGTTATAATTATAAAATAAAGATAAAAATAATTAATCTAAACATATTCTTTAGATATTTGACCTATTTTGATAACATACTGTATATAGTGAACGAGCTGATAATGCTCATGAATATTCTACTTGGCAAAGGTCATTTTGAGCTAAGCACAAGGTTACCTAACAATCGCTGTATGTAAAATACTTACCTGTAAACCAAACACAAAGCACTGGAGCCATGGTGGATTGTCCTTTACTTTAAACAATATAGCTGATTCAGTATCATCTTTCTCCTTTGATTCCTCCACCTCTACAATCTTCACATGGCGTTCTTCCTGCTAACATACATTACAATGAATTTGATGTATGCCCGTAGCAAGCTTTTGCTAAGGGTGGTGGGGGGGGGGAGGGCTCTAACTCCCAAATATTTGAGCGCAACTTTTCGAAAATATGACCAAATTTTAGTTAATCAACGCCCAGTTGGAAGTTTGTTATCTAAATTGGGGGAGGAGCAGATTCTCCATCGAGAAAGCAAAAAGTGTAGCTCTCACATATTTAGGAGATATCGAGGAGAGGGGGCTAGCATGATAAGAGGATTTATTTAGTTTTATACTCGCCATGAAGAAACATGGTGAATTATGATGCCTGAGTCACATTTGCTTCCATTCATCGACCGACATCCGGACGATTGAATATTTTGTTCAAAATACCATTCAGTTTTGAACAAAATTCTCAATCAGCCAGGAGTTTTGTAATTCTGGGCTTGGTTGCGTTTAAACGAATTTCCTTTTTTCAAAGAAATCTGGAGTCAATAACCCAGCATTTATAGCTTTCCTTTAGTTGCAAATACTTCCAAAGTAAAAAAAAACAGATTTTAATTGACGTTTCATGCTTACATTGAAGTAAATATTATATTGAGTAAAATCAGAAAGTAAAATTAGCGGTGATGTCAAAATATTTACAAATGGAAAAACATAGTAATATTCATATTAGTTTACTTATCGTCTCCAAATACTATCAAATACCCCTCTCCCTAATGACAATTATTTTGTTCTTCCAATTTGGCACCGTTTTTGAACCACTCAAAAACCTTATCATACAGTTTTGTAGCTTATTTATATTTCAGCTCATGATGTAACTTTGGTCTAATATTAAACATGGAGCAGGGTAATTCGTTTCAATTCAATTTGATTTGGCAAAAGTAATATCATTCAACTTTTCTCACTCAATTGTTACAAATTCAATTTTGTCAATGAATCTTTGTCATATTAGGTTACATCATTTATTGAAAATTAAACAAACTTCTATCATTTTACACTCCTAGATCTTATTATTTACTTCCTTTAAGAATGAGCATATAGTCTCTGTGATAAATACAAAATGTTTGCACTTATGTAACAGTCATTGTTTTCTTATAAATAACGGCAAACGCAGCCTACCTTCAGTTCGAACTTATTTTCCTCTTGCATGTTGCATCCAAGTTTCAGTGTCTGGCTAGATTTAGGTTTTATATTCTCCCTGTGTTTTACTGTCTATTACTGTTCGTATAATGACATAATTTATACTTGTTTACAATGTTTACATTTGCCAATTATCAAACCAAGCACGTGGTTACTTTAACTCTGGGAATGAATTAAATGTTTCGTGAGAGTCTTGTTATGCGTGTATATGTCCGTCCTTGAATTATATTAAGAACTAATGATTCCGGTTTTGTCTTGATATCTCAGAAAGCAGTACTCGTGTTGCTTGTATGATAACTTTAGTATGGCAGTCACTGTATTCGATAAGACATAATTTGATCAAAGTGGACACCTTGTTCAAAGTGATCTCTTAAACTCAAAAAGAACACTTGAACGTGTTCATTTATTTCACTATTAAATTACAATTAGATAAGTGAAGTTGATGGTCGTCCGAGTTATGTTACAAAATACTTAAAAGCTGCATTTGAATACTTGATATTAAAGGATCATAGAGTGGCAAATAAACATGTTATAGTAACTGTGACTGCTATGGTATGATTAGATAGATAAGGTAATATACAATTCTACATGTACAGAAGTGAGGTAAAGACCTTGAAGAGATGGCGTGATTTGTCGTATAGATCTATTAAGTTTCATTGTTGAATCATAACAGAGGCAACATATAATAAAGATGTGCCAAAAGACCTTTAAAAGAGGCTACACAGGCCCTGCAATTCATTTCTAGAGCTACCACTACTTTATTTCAACCCACTGGGATCATGTTTCAAGTGGTGAATTAATTCAGTCTGCTCTGTTTTAAATTTCAGGTTCATTTTACGGTAAGTGTTTTGGATTGATGCCACATTGAAATCACTTACCTTTTCAATGTAATGATATGTAGTGGGTTTAATTCGAGTGAAACAACAACTATATATTCAACTCTTTATTGAAGATTATAAAGTATATTGACATATAAAAATAGTACCAGACCACCGATATTGGAATACTATATCAATACAATTCTTGGAGGTCACGTAATTGTAAAGTCAACTATTCTATGACACATTTTTGATGGTTATACTGTTAAAATATCAAAATATGGGGCCAATACAAAAAGAGGTCATACATTTGACTTGAATGTTTATGTTTTAGTAATAAGTTTACAAGAGTAAAAAACAACTGTATATTTAGATTAATGTTATTTGAAGCATTTACATGTTTACACTTTTCTTCTCTATATACTTTATGAAAAAGATAAATATTCAATAATTGTATTAGATAAATATGTATGTCATTTAAATAGTATCTAATATATTAGACTTTGTACTAACACGTTTCTTTCACGCACGAGTCTTGTTATCGTGTCTTGTTTGTGGTCATCTCATAATAATACCTTATAAGGTAATATTGTTATCTCATTTCGTAAAATATTGCTGTCCCTTACAAATATATTAGCACTGGTGCCAAAGGGAAAGGACCAAAAGTTGCAAAGGTTGTAATGGAACTTAGCAAAAAAGCAAACTCTAAGTGCATGCCAGGAAAGAAAAGCAAACCCCATATAGCCCAAAACCATGATCTAACGTGAAAAGAAAGAATGTCTAATACCCCCTTTCCCCCACCATTCAAGAGCCGATATCACAATCCAAGGCTAGAACACCAAGGGACATTTCATTCATACTTAAGTCATTACAATACGTGTTAAAGAAAAAATTCATAGGAGTCCATAGGAGTTTCAAAGGGTCAACATCCATTCACAAAAGGCGTCGTCATAATCCATAAAACACAATAATTCACAATGGTCATCAGGAGAAAACTATGGCTGGTTTCGATCCCTATTTCTCAACCATTAATACCATAGCCGGGATCTACCTCAAAAGGTGCCAAGTGAAAATATTGTGAGTTCAGCGCCAATGTCTTCCTAAACAATTCCTACATTTCCTAGTTAGAGAAGATTGTGATATGATAAAGTATGATTTTCTATGAAAGATGGCAGCCATTTTTAATTGAGCAGACATACTAAAATTTCTCAAGCGAATGAGATAACAAAACTTACATGTTTTTTCATAAAAATTGGGCATTTTGAAGGTACAAGTACTTAATATTTATACTTAGAAGTGTGATACGTGATCGATTGATTTCCTAAAATGGTATCGTAAATAAGTACTTTACTGCATTGGCTACAACTAATCTCATCTTTTGGCATAAATCTGATATAGATATAGAAATGGTGCTTAGTGTTAGCCTTATGCTACTCCCTACTCGACATCTTTTGACATACACCTTGTTTTGACTTGACACACCTTGTTTTAACTTGACACAGTGCAATTTTAGACATATATTTTTTTTCTTTTTTATGATTTTCACGAAATGTTGCTTTCTATTGTAAGATGTTGATTTCTCATATGACTGACAAAGATAGAGCCATCTTTACCCCATGTAAGATATTGCCATCTTTCATCACATGTGACAGATGAGATTTACTTATGGCATCACTTGTTTATAAACATAATCAACGTGACAACGGATAAACCGTTGCTATGTGTATCCATGCTTATTCTACAAAAATAAGTTGTGACGTCATAACAATCCTGCTTTGTTGCCACGCGTAGCCATGTATCTTCTACAACATCGACTCGATAAAGAAAAATTATCAAAGCTCATCAAGAATGGACTATCTTGCACAGGTACTCATACAAGAACCTCTATATCTTCACTTTTAAGAGTTGACAATGGGGTCTCATTTTGTTCAAAATTAACGAAATAGTGCCTTCTCTTTTTCGGACCTGAGCTGACATAAAAATTGACACAATAAGAGATGATATAACTCTTTTTGAATCCTATGTCTATTACAATCATGCCTCAGGTTGGCATAGCGTCTTGATTCTATAGGTCTACGGTTTAATCAAATTATATTGCTCATAGTTCACACACGGCTACACCATCTGGTTTTGCCATATCCGAGATTGTATATGGTTTAATACCATTTTGTAGCTCATTCTCAGTCAGTTCTTCCATGCTTGACGTAGACTGAGTATCTGTAACAGTTCTGCGGAAGGCTGGGCAAAAAGGTAGGTAATAACAAAGTCGTTTTTTGGCTAACCAGCTTGAAATGAATGGTATGTCATAGATTTCAGCTGTTTCTTTTGATTGTGGAGATGTTGATGATAGTTGAGATGTCCACATCTCAATACCTCTTTCTTTATCAGTACCTGAAATAACCAAACAGAAAATGTGACTACAACATTTACTTGTAGTTTTATTCATTTGATCATGACAATAAATGGGAAGAAGATAAGTTGGGGGTTCACAAAATTAAGAAAAAAAAAACAGTTCAAATATTTGTGGTCAGATAACGAAAAACAAACCAAACCTACATTAAATTAAATATTGATCTTCTATCTTACTCAAATCGCCAATTTTCTTAATTGGAAAAATGAAGTATGCCTTTATTTCAGTATGTATGTTTAGTAGAAATAATTGAAGTAGGCCCTACCTGGTAATGTATTGTCCAAGATGAACCCCACTAGTCCAGCTAAGAAGTTATTGGTGCTCAGAAGTACATAGAACACATTGTCTACAGTCTGGACTCCTAAAACAATGAAAGAATTGCTTGTCAAAGAAGTTTCTATTGTGTATTTACCACGGTCAGAGAAATAGGGAGGATATCAGGGATGATATTGGGATTAAAGGGATGGTATCAGGAATCATATAGATATCAACCCGGATTTTTTTTTTTTTAAATCATTTTTTTCAAAAATTTTCTCTTATTCAACCGAGGATTTTAGGTAGATATTGTTCTTGGCCATATTGGTTATTATTCACCTTTCGGGATGATATGGGGGATATCCCTTGGATGATGTCAATATTTCCCTTTGTCAATGCGTTCTATGGGGAAATATCAAATCCCCCTGGTGAATAACTTCTTTATACAATATACAGTATTATTGATCATGATAATTCATAATAATCAATGTATTGTTAGTTACATGAGTTATAGGAGAAAAAAGTGGGTGCCTAAGTCCATAATGTCCAAGCATCCACATTTTTCTATTGTCCGTATGTCTAGGTGATAGTTTACTTCAAGATGACTTGCAGTCTTGTCTGCCTTTTGACAAGATATATAGTGAGATGTTTGTGCTAAGAAAACACAGTCGTCCAGTTAAAATATTGATAGATTACCTGTATGTATTGATGAAGGATTTGCTTTGACCCACTCAGGGACGGTAAGACCAATGAAGAAAGAAAGTCCTATTACACAAAGGTTCCTAGAAGAATTTAAATCGACGTACTGCAGGCTTGAGATCCCAACGGCTGTAATCATACCTGAAATAAAAAATAATACCCTCTGGTCAAAAACCATCTGTGCGTCGTCATGCAATGCTCATAACTTTTAATAATGAAAATCATACAATTTCATACCTTTAGGGTTTGGGGCCCTATATGTACCAAAGTAGGTGTAAAATTTTGATAAAATATATGGAACGTTGAAAAACTAGAAGCTGGTTACCATAGGGACCCCAGAAATTTTGGCTGTGACATTTATGGAAGTTTTCCTCATTTTTGCTAATTCAATGGAATTATTTTCTCATCTCACTTATTACATCAAACATCAATTAAACTTGCCAATCCAAATTATTGTTACAAATATTAGGCAGCATTTGATCCCAAAATTGACAAGTAGTAGCCATTCACCCTTATTGTTTCAATCAGAGTATTTTCGAGTTGAGAACCACTGGGTATCAACTGTATCTACAGTAATACAGTAATACAGTAAAAAATGAACATTGGGATCAGAAATATCTTTAGAACAATGGATGAAAAACTATTTGAAATTGAATTGAATTCAGAAATATTGGTGAACTAAGGTCTTACCAAAGAGTACGAGAAAGATTCCACCAATAACAGGGTCAGGTATGGCGACAAATAATGCACCGAACTTTCCCAGTAGACCCAGAACCAACATGTACCCAACAGTATAGTATATCACACGCCTACTGCCACACTGGAAA